AATTTTCATATGCGTGTGATAGAATTATTTTACAAACGAATCATTCTCGAAGGATTAAATAGTAAAGCAATGACTCTTATGAATCCATATTAATGTTAGTTATATCACAAAAGTAATTGGTAATACATCGTATCTCGTTCAATATCTTTCAAAAGATTCAATGTGTGATTTTTGTGTATTTACTAATTCATTGGTGAATATTTTCGAATTTTTGTACAAATTATCAGTTTTAGTCAACGATATAATTATTGGAAGATCATTGGAATGAATGTATAAGAATTTAGGGAAGAAGCATAGTCTTTCCATTGGTATGATCTACCGTTTCGCACTCGCCCCTTTTTACGCGTTGACGCGCTACAAAACTACACAGTCCAGTTCGGTTTGATTCGACTCTTCTCGGTTGAACTCGGCTCGACTTTGAGTCACAACGACTGCGGAGCTATCGACCGTTCTAGGTTTAGCAAGATAATAATAATTCGGACGGAATGTATTCAACGGGAATCAAATGAATTCTTGACCGTTTTACATGTTGCTGTATATAGGTTATTGTTAGTTTTATAATGGGAACTAAACAGGTACACACTGTTTTGCCAAGAGTCTAGTTCCCCCGTTAGATAATTTGATACTTCAAGATATGATTGACGCTGAATTATGTTTATCTTTTGGATCTAATCTATTTTACAGGTTATACGTCACTGATACACGAAAGATCGATATTATCTTATGAGTAGAAGATATAACCATTATTCGCCATCGAAAATTATTTATTGCTTATTATTATCTGGTAGATAGATAACTCTGTTATCTTAAAACAGTATTAATTCTAACCCGTCGACACTATGAAATCGATTTTCTTCATCAGAACGCAATTCAAACGCACGAAAACCTGCTGCGGTACTTTCTGCTGCGAAGATCGATCGTCTCCGTTACGTGCGCGAAAGTAACACACTGTCACAATGAAAAACACTTGAAGTTTCCCTACTGAACCGTAGAAATATTATACTACCTTTTTCATAAAAAATATTGAGCGTCGTTTTAAGATTACAAACAGCAAATTTTCATTTGAGGTAGTCATAAGAAGCCATTGTAATACAACTGTAATTATGGATGAAGAATACGTTCAATTGAATGGGCATATCTTTTTCAATGTGCTGTAGATGCTCCATTACAGTCCATAGATTTCCGTTTGATTTCCTTTCGGTTCTAGTTTGATAGTAATAAACGAAATACTATTACATTTTACAATTATCGCTATAACTATGTTATTAAAATATTCGAATAACGTATTGTTTACAGGAACACTGCCGGGCTAATGCCGTTGCTGCCATCACCGCCACTACTGAGGCATACGAGAACGAAGCGGTACATCGACAAGAAATGTCTGATGCTAGATCTTGTGAAGGTTTGAAGAGGACAGACCGGATCCAGAGTCTCTTCGAAATGAATATTGTTGCTAGTGATTGGATCGAGAGGAAATACGGAAAACAGAAGGAAGTGTAGCAAAAATTTGAAGAAGCAACAGCTGTGAATAGTAGAAGTAACTTTGAAGTGAAAAGAGTAGATGAGAAAAGAAGAAGAACGCTGACTCTCGGTAGCTACTGTGCGACGGTCGAGCCAAGTGTGTGCGCGCGAGTGCCTCCACGGACGGGAGAATACGTAAAAACGGTGTATTTCTCGTTCTGCCATCTTGAAAGTCATCCAATTTCTTTCTCTTGGTGGCGCTGGCTCACGTGCGCGGGAAACGTGCACAGTGCGTGCATCGTACACGCACTGTGCTACAATTACGGCTGAAGGAACCTCGCTTTGGGTAGAATTGCGAAATAACGGTCTTCGCCGAGGGTGCAACAGGATCGTGATGAAAGTAAGTTCGTCAACAAGTTTGCATCATCGTGGGACCGATAACGAGTACTGTACCGGTAACGACAGCAGCCGTAATAGCAACGATACCGTCATCGTGCGCGTTCCTAGCTGGATAAACAGGAACCAGAATGACTTTACCGGGAACGAGATATCGTGGGTGGAACATAGTCTGCGAGTTGAGTGTAAACCACGTGGCAGTGATGAAATTGTGGGGCAATCGCGATTCTCTAAGGTGTATCCACAGTGATTGCTAGTGTTTGAGAAAAAGTACGCGGGAGACAGAAGGATAGAAGCCGAGACTCTCGCGGAGAGCAGGGCATCGAAAGATATGCGGACTTTTGTGCGAACAGCTGAACCGGAAGTTGTGAGAACAAGTGGAGTGCAACGCGCTCCGCCTAATCGGTGATAGGGTCAGTCGGCTAAAAGAAGATCAAAATTAGTGCTCGTAGCGACAGTAACGCGGCATCTTTCGCGATCACCTTCCACCCCTTCCTTTTCCTGTTTGCTTTCGTTTCGTCTCCTTTCCCTACTCCCCCCACCTCCTCAACTCACCCCCTCTTTTTCTCAAAGTACGATAACTTGCCTGTATATTTTCTATTTTATCTTTTGTTACTTATCGGGGGTCAACTTCGTTTCGACGGAACGTTTCTAAATCATAAACTGTGTCGCGTGTAATCGAAATGTTAGCGGTTGAATAATGCAAACAAGATTTTCTCGTGTAAAAACCGTGTCGCGTTTTTTCGCAATAGAGAAGGTATACTGTCCCTAAATACATATATTGAGATACTTTGTGTTCGATGAACGTGGTACACTCGTACGATGATTTTAAGGATTGTTTACGCAAAACACGTCTTACCTATTAATTCGATGCAATATTTTCTTGCGAGATTTCTTGAAATTCTCCCGGATCCTGGCAATCAGTGCTCTTTTTTTGGTATTCACAGCGAACGCACGAAATGTACACACGAACGAACCGCAATGACATATTAGCTGTGCGTGCTGTGTCCCTCGTATATCGTTCATATTCGATTCTCAAGGAAGTTCAACACCTGATACTAATGTCATGTTTCTCCAACTGTTATCCGCAGAAGTCGTCCCTGAAGCAACATCGGAAGAAAGAAATTTGAATGGTCGGTTAAGTTTTGTGTTTGTCGAATGTCACGGTATACGAGTCGTGTAGATGAACGCATGAAAGTGTACGTGTAAGAGGTGCGAGGGAAGCGACGATCAACAACATCAAGACAACGAAGAAGTGTGCAGAGGAAAAGAAAGTGCGAGCACGAGCAGTGAAGTAAGAAGGAAATGATAAACAAAAAGAAAGGGATTTAAAGCAAGCCTGTGGGAACTAAAGTTCGCCGACGCATAGTAATGTTGTGGAGTAGCGTGTTCCGTAAAAGTTTTTAACGTCGATATAGAATTTATAAATAGATCGGTTGGTGTACTCACGTATGTGTACGCGTACGTATGTGTGCGTGATTACGCGCGCACATGTACGTGATTTTCACTCGAGACTGAAGCGGTGAATTATTCTCGTGCGGATCGACCACTCGTGGGAGAAATTCGAGATCGGCTTACCTTCCGCAGCTGACGTCATTACCGGTAAGTTGTTTTTCCGTTATTACTTACACTGTCGTAAAAGTGCCGCTTTAATTCGCCATTGAGTATCATTTACACGCGAGTATTAGTTCTTATGTTTACTTTACCCGATTACGAACATCTATAGATGTAAAGAATTTTGTCTTTTGTTCAAATTTTTCCGTGAATCTGGATAAAGACACGAAATCGATTAAAAGATTGTTGAACGTATTGTTTTACCTAATATCAACAATGTATTGGGCATCCTGTATAATTTGTATGTTAATTACTAGTAGACTACATTTTTGAAAGCCGGGCAGTCAGGTTGTCTGATAACGCCCGACGGTGTGAACTTCTTGTCGTTTGACTAACCGTTCGAGTCCCAAGCAGCGCGATCGCGCTGTTGAGATTTTATGTCGAGAAAACCCAGCATATTTCGAACCTGTCTCTTATACACATCTAGATGTGTATAAGAGACAGGTTCGAAATATGCTGGGTTTTCTCGACATAAAATCTCAACAGCGCGATCGCGCTGTTGAGATTTTATGTCGAGAAAACCCAGCATATTTCGAACCTTGTGGACAACTGACGGTGCGTTACCGATTGTCGAAGCGCGCTCAGATTTAGTGAAGCAAGTACATCACACAGCTCCTTTTAATGTAAATAGTACATTTTACAATAGGTAGAATAATACTATAATAATGCAATAATACATTACAAAATAAAAATTTTTAATTCATTATTATTGCGCCGCTTGGTATTTCTCGACATAAAATAAAACAAGCGCTATCGCGCTGCTTGGGTCTTTTCGTACTCATTTAGAGAAAGCGCGGTTACGCTGTTTGGAATTCTTCGACAGTGTTTTTTCAATACCCCCTGGGACTCAAACGGCTAAGCAAAACTTTGCTGTCAGTATCCCTATCATTACTAATTTTTGTTTAGTTAAAATACGCAATAGTATTTTGTAAAATACTATGGCCACACATCAGATTCGGTATATACACTGATCTTTCTTTTTAAATAATAACTTACAGTCGCAGATTTATATAAACTGAATGGTGGGTTCGTAGTCAAAATTACTCATCTCTACCATTAAAAGACCAATTTCATTTCCTTTTCCGAGGAGCTGCTCGTACAGGCTTACTTTGCTTTGAGAGTCATTACAATACCGTTACTTTGATGATGCCAAATGTCTATCTGTCCTTATAAACATTTTCCTTCATTTTAAGGATCACGCGCAATCGTAACATGAAATATTTTTTATTTATTTCACAAATAATCACTAAGTGATTGGTACTACTAATTATTTTGTGTGTTATATCATTTTTTCATAGTTAGTGATTTCATAATTGTTTTCGATCGTTATACGTTGCCACTATATGCCGACAAGTTACACTGTAATGATACGAATGACATAGTATTCTAATTGGCAATTGCATTTTACATAAATCGTTTATGAAATTTTGTTTGTTGGAATTTGGATCCGCTATTTCCTTTTGCAATGCGGATTAGATTTAAAAAAAAAAGAAAGTTAAGTGGTAAAAGCAAGGCTTGAAGTGAATTTTGACGGGACTTGTTTCAGTACACAATGCGTTAGGGGTGATGGAGACAGTGGGCAAGCAAGTCCAGGTAGTGAGCGGACTGGGGGTGGGGGGTCCAGTGGGCCCTGTGGGTCCAGTGGGGGCAGATTTGCATCACCATCATCATCCTCACCCCCACTCTCATCCTCCACACCCACACGCCCACCCCCACGGTCATCCTCACGGGTCCCATGGCCACTCTCTCGTCGGCGTAACGTCGACCCCCGGCAGGGGTCAGACCCAACCACCGGTCTCGCATAACCAACATTTACCCGCGAGATCTACTCCAGTACAACTACACAGGTAAGCTTGTAGGTGTGTTCGCTATCGCTGTCGCATTGCATGACTATGTTTTCGATGTTGTAATTAAAATGGCAAGCATTCTCAATGAAAATGCTTCCATGACTCGTTCGGCCAGCGAACTGGAGTCAGGAAGATTTAGTAAATATGTTCCTTTGAGAAATCTTCAGCCATTTTAGGTAAAGCAATAGCCGACGTGTTTAGCTTAGATCTATGTACTTCGTTCCAATTTCGAATATGAATAAATTATTTATGGCATTAGATATAACCGTTAAATATAATAATTTAAGTCAATATTTAACAAAGTTTTAAAAACAGAATGTTATTAAAATGCTATAAATATAATTGAAATGGAGCAGGAATACAGAGTTTCATTGTTTGAACTTATGTGAAAGTGGGTCAGATGAAATATATACATTTTTGTCTCATTTACATATTCATTGCGCCGAATTAAATAGTAAATACCTTAATTTCTATCACATGTTTACATTGTACACGTTGAAGTTGAAAAATTCAAACTTGAAATACGCGGTAACTAAAAGATTGAAGTTGGATACACACACAATATACGTACAGTTTACTGCGCATGCGTTCTTCCAATTCTACTACTACTGCTACCTGTCGATTCTAACCTCAAACGTCAACGTGCAACGTTGATTTTTAACCTCGCGAGGTTACATTTTGTATTTATTGTTTATTTAAACGTACAAATGTACAACTGTGCAGTATACTTTAACGGAAATAGTAGAGGGAATCTGTGAATTTTGTAAAAGCAATGCATCGGATGTATAAAAGGAGAATGCACATGGAAACCAAAAATTCCTTTGAAACTCGAGATTGTTCGTTTGCGTGATGAAGTAAGTCCATGGAATTATTCTTTTGCATCGTTCTTTACACTTTCGGTATACTTTCTTTAGTGTATGTTCTCTCACACGTATGAGATTTAATTGTTTAATAGTACTCAGTATTCGCAAGAATGGAGTCACATATGAGTACATTATGTTTCATGTACAAGTTTTATACATTTTGTTTTATACACTCATCGTAATAGTAATTGTTTCAAATGTATACTTATGTCAAATTTCAAAACCCTTTTTCTAGATATATGTACATTATGATTAAGGTTAAAAGAAATAATTTGATATGCTATTATCGTTACACTAAATTTAGACAATGGACTATAATTAGCATTTCTAGTACTCTGCATATGCTGCTTATGTTGGTAAATAGAATGTTTGATTAAATAATCTATAGAACGCGGGAAAAATAAGTTAGGTTAGGTTTATAGCGAGAAGTGTACGAGCGGAAACAAAGCAACGTTACTGTATACATATATTTGAATTAGAATTGTATTCACATGATGCGGTAATTCTGTACATCTGGTAGGGATAGAATTAATTTAACAAATAGATTCATTGTTATTAGTTTTCAAAGAGATACTCATTTATTCCAACGATGTAGCCTATAAAATATTTCAAAATTATATTTAAATCGTGATTGAAATCTTATTTTATTACGTTATTGAGGTACGCATAATGGTTTTTACGTACTTTCATGCATTTCACTTAGAAATTTATTTATTTTTCGATTAAAACTGGCATAAATATGAAAACTTGTTGAACGAGGAAAGAGAAAGCGAACAGTAGGTCGCACGGTAGGGAATAAAAGATGGCGGTGATGACGAAAATGCACAACTTTTTATCTTAAAGTATGTTTAAGAAATAATAATAATAATAATTACAAGTAAAGGAAAATTTTAGAGTATTTTAATAGGTGAAGCAAAGTATAAGTAAAACGATATTTACACTTTTCTTTACACACAAACGATCTAGATAACAAGACTCTAATTCGAGACATTCTTCTTATTTTTCTAAATATTTTTCTTAATGCATGCAAATTGACATTCCTTTTAACGCGACGTTTATAAAAATTAAGGATTTATCTAAAAACCCATATCTTGAACGGCACAAAGTCGTTAATCTTGTTGCAATTAAATCACAAAGCCGTATGAACATCTACGTAGTTATGCGTAGAATGAGCATCATTCATAAAAGGGAAAAAGTGTAGGCGATATATCGTACGCCGAAGATTTTAAAAGTGGGAGGAGGGGGTCACTGACCGTTACATCATCAAGAATTTATAATCTAGGTAAATTCATAAGGTAGCCAAGTATTTACAAATGTAAATTCAAATATGATACACATCAGCTCAAGGTTATAAGTAATTATGAAAATAGCATTGAATAAATTTCGAATGGTATCACTGAATTTCAATGTTATATGTGCTTTAAATTTATCTTACATTAATAGATAGTTTATTTAGACGTAGTATGGCTACGATAAATTTGTAAATTTGTCCGAATACTTGTAAGCTCAAATGTTACAGACACTACGATAGCTAACATGATAAAATAAAATAAAATAAAATAAAACATAATTCGGTGTATCGATTATCGACAAAAAAAAAATAAACAGGGTATCTACTTTTAAAGGGAAAGTATAAAAGCGCAGTGTCAATCAGAAGCCATTAATCCTCGATCACGATTCGCTAGGAAATAATGCTAGAAACGCTCGTCGAAACTTGTCGAATGTGTACGGCGATCTGGCAACGTTGCGATAGCAACGTCGCCTTACGAAAGCAGACAGGCACATTCACCCTTTGTGATGTTCAACGCATGCGCAGTGATTCCACACAGAATAGGTACTGATGCACCGGCACGCGGAACCATGATCTGTGCTATACTGCGACACCGCATATCGTTATATCGTATGACGCATGCGTAGCGTGTTTTGCCACATGTGACAAACTAACGCCGAAAGGTCGTCTGTCTACTATTCTAGCATATGTATAGTTGATGCTTGATTTCACATGAATCATATTTTTATCGCGTGACGCGATTGGTCGGTTAACCATCACTCTTCAGCCTTTCTTATGCACTTGTTCTTCGAGATATTTTATCTCATAATTCCGAGCATCCAATTATTCGCTCCTGTAATAGATGTTATCAAAGTATATGATTGGTACTCTGAAATCGCTAGCTTGCGAGCCTAACGAAAACATGACTCCAAAACGAACGATCCTATTCCTACACATGCGCCCTGAGATCGTTTCGTAGCACTCCGAATTCCCGCGCATTTTCATAATGTTGATCATGAACAAACCATCGACTTGATTTGAATTTATTCGCGTCCCGAGGCTAATAAACGGATACACCGTAGATGAAATGAAGGAGCAGGCGTCTCGTGATCTTCAAAACAGTTATCTGAACATGCGCGGGATCACGCAACGTCTGCTTCTGGCATGTTAATTTCTCCAGTTTATTTAACCGAAATCGTAACTTATATTTGTAATGATTTCAGGTCACCGCAAAGTTACGTAAACATCAAGAGCAGCAGTCCCGTGTCACCAAGAACAGTAGGAGCAGGCGTGACGTACGTCCAAGGTGGTGCGGCCGCGTCTTCCGCAGCAGCGGTGGCAGCGGCAGCGGCAGCTGGGACAGCTGGTAGTAACACTCCTGGAGGTCCTTCAATCGGTGGAGGTGGTGGCAGTGGTGGCGGCGGCGGCGGTGGCGGCGGTGGCGGAGGCGGCGGTGGTGGCGGCGGCGGAAGTGTTAACAACGCTGGTGGCACGAACAGTGGAACCGGTGTCGTTGGGTCCGGAGCTGGCGTTGGGGCCGTAGGGAACGTGGCACCACCCGGAAGTGGAAATAGTAGTGGTACCGGTAGTGGTACCAGCGCGGGAAGCAACAGTGCCGGGAGTGGTGCAGTGGGTGGTGCACCAGGAGGTTACGTTGCTGTACCTATGGCTGGTGGTCTACGATACATCCATCCGTATCCACCGACGCCAACATCGGCGTCGGTGCCAGCCGTAGCCACGGTGGTCACGTCGGCATCGTCGGCGTCAACTCCCATACCAGTGGCAGCGCCTGTAGCCCCGGCAGTGTCTGCCAATCCACCCACAGTTAGTCAAACGTCACCACCATCGCTTTCCGGAACTGCTTACAGCACGAGGGATGTATATCGCAGCGCCACCACGAATGTAGGTATTTTACTGTTTAAAACAGCCGCGTTTCGATCCAAAACAATCGCATGATAAATGTTGCGTTCTGTTTTGTCGATCAACAAATGCGAGCATCCGCGGATAAAATAATCGTAATTGGATCGGAAACAGCTGGTCAGATATAGATAGGAATCCAGAACGGCAATAGTTACTAGCAATATATATGTACAGTATAATTATACATAGAGAAAAGAATGTAATAAGTATCTTGTTTTTGTTCTTGACTTTCACCTGTTATTAATCCTTTCTTATCTTCCGTGAAATTGTCAGTTTAGGCTCTTGTTGATATGATAACGATAACTTAATTTTAGATACGATCGTATCGTGCAAATTGTTGCATTAAATGCTACCTCTGTAGACTAATTCGTTCGTAAGCTTTAAGCATTTAAACATTTTCTATTTGGATAAGTAAGATAACGAAAGTAAATCTGATTTAGACAAGTGTTAAAAAAAAGAGTAGATGATGAATAACTGTTTGAGCTTCAATCGAAATACAAGAAATGTATGACGGTATTCTAGGTATATTGATAACGTACCGTCTATCCTCTTGAACCGGGTCATCGATTTTCTTGAAATAGGTTCGCGCGCGGAGAAGGTTAGGCAAGATAAATTGAATGAAACGCGTGAGATGATAAAGAAAGTATAAGACAGTCGGATGAAAACAGAATTGAAAAAAAAGATGGATCTTGACTGTAGTGTTTTTACAGGTAAACGAGAGGATCGCTATCAACGTGAGCAGCAGTCCTCTATCGCAGATTGGAGTCGGTGTTGGAGTAGTTACGGCCGAATATGCGACGAATAGCGGTATAGGTAGTGGCATGGCTGGTGGTAGAGGGGATAGACCGAGGATATCTCTTCTACCGCCTGCTTCGGTGACGCCGACAGCTTCACCGACGGCCCCTTCAGATTATCAGCACGTGACCAGTGCGAGAAATTCACGAATAGGCCTCATGCCCGTCCAACCGGATCAGTATTGCACTCGTACGGCCGTTGAGATAGCCAATCTGCAGGAGGCACCGCCCTTAAAAAAGATGCGCTTGGCCCAACCAACGCAGGTTCAGTTACAGTCCCAATCGCAATCTCGCTGTCAAAGCCTATCGCCCGCTGACCCCTGTGGTAAACAAGAGCACGTGGTACAGTTGCAGCAGCCACTCAGGATAGACACTAGGGTGGGTATCTATAAGTAAATGCGCGTGCGTTTTGGAATTAAGATAGAGCTAGAGGTAGTAAACTCGGTGATGCCAAGTTGACAGAGATAAGAAAGGTTTATGTTCAACCGTTAACAAAACATATCAAGACAATAACGAACTGATCTACCATGGCTGCGGAATAAAATCTTAGCTCTAAATTCGTTTAGCTTCAAGTTCGTTCCAAGTTAAAATTTCGAAATATATCTTCCATTCAACACAGTATTATATGAGCATTTTCTGCTAGGGGCAGCCCGCTGCGTATACGCCGCAAACAGAAGCTATTTCACCTACGCTTCCGGAACCGAACACGCAGGAGGACGCGCAGTTTAGAAGTACCAAGGACGATCTTCTGCAGCAGATCGCCAAGGTCGACAGAGAGATTGCGAAAAGAGAGTCTCAGATAAATAAGCTTCGGAAAAAGTTGAAGGAATTAGAAGAGGCAGCGAACAAACCTCTAGAAGCCAGTGGTCTTAAACGGCAGGTTGAGGAACAATCGCAGCAACCGAAGCATCAGTCTCTTGCACAAAAGATTTATGCTGAAAATAGGGTAAGGCATTTAGCGAAGAAGCCCATGCGCAGTTTTCAAAACTTTAAAACACTTGACCAGAGACTTTAACTTCGATTTCTATTACAGAGAAAAGCTGAAGAAGCTCATAGACTCCTAGAGAGGCTGGGTGCAAAAGTGGAGCTACCTTTGTACAATCAACCGTCGGATACAAGTGTGTACCAAGAAAATCGTACGAAGCATCAAACGTGTATGAGAGCTAAGCTTATAGCGAGGCTTCGTCGGGAACACGCCGAACGAGCGTCTCTTCATCGACAACAGTCTCGAACGTACGCCATTTTGGTACAGGAGTGGCATCGTAAGATAGAACGATTAGAGGCAACACAGAAAAGGAAATCGAAGGAAGCGAAAAATCGTGAGTTCTTCGAGAAAGTGTTTCCTGAGTTGCGGAAACAGAGGGAAGACAAGGAACGTTTTAATAGAGTCGGTGCCCGTATTAAGAGTGAAGCTGATCTAGAGGAAATTATGGACGGCCTTCAAGAGCAAGAGGTAGTTTACACTCAGAATTTATATACTAATACGTATATGTAGGATGTTCGACTGCCTGTGGTAATTTCTTGGTTCAAAATGAGACGAAAATCAACTTCGTTTTCAAATTATTAACAATTAAGAATTTCTGTGATTTATGACAATTCAATAGTGGACAGCGTTAGTTATATCAGTACGAGCACTAAAAGTGCTACATCGTGGAAAAAAACAAAAGATAGAGATTAGATTCATGTTGTTGACGAACTGTGTCTTGTTAATAATTTGAAGATGTAGAGAACCCTATAGCTCTTTTAAACAATTAATGAGAATTACTTATTGTGAGGACCGCTGTATGTAGTCGACCGCGTTGTAAGGAATAATAATGATAATGTTTGCTTCGTAATTACTTTTTCAGATGGAAGATAAAAAAATGCGTTCATACGCAGTGATACCTCCGTTGTTATTGGATACGAAACAGAGACGAATCGCGTTTCAGAATCGAAACGGTCTGCTTCAGCCAGAAGAATTAGAAGCACTTCACAGTGAACGGAAGTTAATTAACGTTTGGAGTTCTGTGGAACACGAATTGTTTAAAGAAAAATATTTACAACATCCTAAGAACTTTGGAACGATAGCTCAATCTTTAGAACATAAGTCCGTTCCAGATTGCGTGCATCATTACTACCTCACTAAAAAAGCAGAAAATTATAAGCAGCTATTGCGAAAGTCGCGGCAACGAACACGTAGCTCTCGGAACAATCCTAATAATAAAGTGAGTCACGTTAAAATTCTGCAGATGTCAACAGAAACACTTATAAGAATACAGATTTTCATGAGTATATGTTTCGGTATGTTTCAGGTAAATAATACCAGTTCAAGTATTGGACCTATAGACATCCTAACTACGGGTGTTACGACGAGGCTGCAGCGCGAGCAGCAACAGAAAACGCAAGAAAATCCTCAGAATAATTCAACGGCGGCGTCGACTACGACGACGACCACTACCACCTCGACACCATCGAATGTGTCAGCGTCCGTTACGTCAACGATAGCGACCACGTCAGCGACTTCCCTGAGCTCGTCGGCAACGTCGAGTACATGTTTAACGACAGAATCCGTAATAACATCAACGGCAGCAGTAACGACCTCGATATTGAGTACCACGACGGCGTGCGTCACTTCGTCGATCACATCTAGTGCGAAGGATAACCGGGAAACTAACAAAGAAAACAAAGAAATTAAATTGGAGCCCAAGGAGTCGAATCTCATCAAAGTGGAGGTGAAGGAAGAGCCGCAGTTGAGTTCTGAAACGATGTCAGGAAAAGATGTTAAAGTGATGTACGTATACTTTCTTTCAATGAACGTTTCTGCTTGAAAAGCTTGAAACTATTTTGTGTGTTCATTTGAGGGGATTCATATTTACTGTTATTAACAATTTCAAATATATATTGACAGTTATACCTTCTTCAAAACAGTTACACAAAAGATTGTTCTGTAATTTTCATTCATTTTTTGTAACTATATTATATGTTACAAATAGTTTTGGCTTCCTTCTTATTTCTTTAGTTAATTAAAATTACTTGAAATATGGTATTCTTTATAGGATCACCTGATAGGTATACATAGACTATACAAATAAATATGAAATAAACTTTCACTATAATAGATTATTATTATGCACATACGTATTTTTCTTCGTTAAGAAGGAGAGAATGATACAATTTTCTTCTTTCCTTCATGGAGAAATTTTGGAACGGTAATTTACTTATTGTCTGAAATAATGATAATTAAATACTTAAGTAAAAAGATTTAAAACAAAGGATTTATATTCGTGGTAAAAAATTTAATGAAATAAACTTCTTCAATTTTTGTGTGAATAATTCAAAAATTCAATAAACATTCAAGACATCTATCACCTAATTTGTTGGCATCCTAGGTCACCTGCTTTTTTGTAGAAGAAAGAGATTTCGAATATTGTTTTAGTAATTCCAGTAAATGTAAATTTTTTAGACCTGCAGGAAAAATGCACAGAAAGTTTTTCGAACGTAATTGGCTTTGGAGAGTAATAATATTCATAATGTTTTCACACTATCTTCAATCAGGTTAATCATTTTTAAATCATTGAATGTGTTTGTCAGATCATTAAAAAATATGAACAATAGCGTGCCTTTGGTTTGTCTGTTTCACAAATAAAATGTTTTATGCCCTTTGTTAGTATGTTACATGCATTACTGAACTCAAAGCTATAATAGGATTAAAAATATCTTTATTCCGTTCTTTAACGTTCGGTATGGCAAACATAATTTTGTTTCTTTCAATTCCATCATACGGTGAATTTCAGACATTTAAAGTAATAAATATGATTCCTTTTATATAATTCTCATACGAACTTTTTAAAGTATGCAGCCATCAAAATATTGCTATAAAATACCTAGAAGTACATGGATTAACTTTCATCATAAATAAATTTCCATGGATATTCGAAGTCTAATGAATATATTATCCGTTTTTTATTATTTCGGGATTATGTACGAACTTTTGTACGCTCAAATTTCCTATTGAATTTTGATGATCAGGATGTTTGATAAATCTGTTGTTAAATTAAAAGTGTTTATTATGTTAGATGAAAAGGTATGAGAAATCTTTTCGAGAGAGAAAATATAATGTAACAGTGTCAACGATTGCAAATGTACTTGGAAAAAAGAAGTAATTGATGGAACTACAGAGATTGAAGCAGGGAGGGGGTAGTCGATTGGTGGGGAAAATGGGGTGGTTGGAAGCAGAGTGGTGGTGAGCGAGGGAAGGTAGGGTGGTTATTAGCAGATTGTAATGCTAATCAATGGTTGCTGGTTAGTGGATTATGTTTACGTAGGCATTCATCATCGAAATTGAGTTGATCGTTGAAAATCTGATCCCAGGTTTGCATGAAAATCGGAAGGAACGGTTACCCTTCCCTTCGGATGCGATTAATTGAAATTGAAATGAAATATTAATTTTCCGCTGAACGTTGCTCGATACTTTTCAACGCGGCGGTGACCAAACCAGTCCATTTCAGAAATTGTAAATCGCATATGCATCGAAGCGTATCTTGGTAGAATCGTATTGTCACAGATTCATTTTGCTCTTCCAAATCACTCGTTGGGCTTTATAAAAGCTGATACGCACATTTTTCTTCATATTTGTTTTTTAAACATTTAAACATTTCGCATACTTTTCCAAAAGAATACGATAATTTCTACTTTTGCAGAAAAAGTTCGAGAACTTATAAAATTATGTTACACGTGTTATGAACTTTCAAGAAGGTAAAATAATAATAATTAAAGGAAATAATAATAATTTAATAATAATTAAAGGAAAAATAGTAAGACAGAAATAATACAATCTCATTCTTGTTCACGTTGTCTTGGATTTGCTGGAACTGTTAGTGGAGAAACTGTAAAAGAATATTTACAGTTTTGTTAATGACAATAAGTAGACTGCGGTTTTTATGCGTTTATGACGATAACGAACTTGTCACGAAAAACACAAAACTGTAAAGGCATTAAACGAATTATTGATGTTGTTATATTATTTTCAAATTATCAAAAGTACTAAAAAAATAATTTTCATCTATCTTACGTTTCTTACAACTTTGATAACTTTTATTTTACATAAATGTAATAGTAATTGCACTGAAATAATTATTTACTGTGAATTGTAAGGTGCATCTTGTTCTCTCTCTTGAATCACCCCCATTCTGATTGTAGAAAATACGGTGCTTTTTTGTTATACTTGTCAAACTAGCTTACACTCTGATCACTGATTGTTGCAGAATTGACGGGAAGAGCACGTTATCGTCGTCGACGTCGTCGTCGTTGAGTGTGAACGCAACGAACACGATGAACACAACGAACGCGACGGCGATACATATGGATTTCAAAGACTCGAATAAAAAGAAACCGGTCAGCAGGGAGACGACCAGCAGCGGCATGACCGGCGTGGTGACCGCCAGCAGAATAAAGGAGAAGAAAAAGGACAACCACGCCACGCCAATGGAGACCAGCGACGAAGAGGCCCAGTCGATGGACGCTATCGGTAAGTGTAGCTGAACTATTCAACTAATTGGCAGCCAATAGGACTGATAATGGTCTTATTAATTTTATGAAATCAAGGTCATACTAGAAGGAAACATGACGAGATTCAATGTGACCGAATACGAAAGAAATCTAGGACCAGTAAAATAAAGTTAGGTTTTCGTAATTATGTTCCGTACACGGTAATCTTGGCGAAGGCAAAAAATTGGCAAAATTAAAATTTGGACACTTCACAGCGGAAGTTAACATTAATTCCAATCATTATTAGTTATTCAATATTGAAGTTGTCAGTCGATGCTGTCACCTAATTGATTACAATGGTAAACTAATTAATCGAATTTAAATGATTACACCGGTCAAAGGTGTCCCTCGATCCACCCTCGACTCTCATCCACTAGATAGTTTTTCTTGTCTACGTAGAGTTCTATGCAATCAACTCGCGGTCTGATATCAGCAAACTTTCCTTTCGAAAATTGTTCTTCTGCTGCATTCAGCTTCCTCGGAACTTTATCTCATCTTATTGAATCGAACGGATTTTGCAGGAAAGGAAATTTTACATTACCTTGCAATTTTATGCACATGTCTGCTCTTTCTATAAAGTTTACAGGCATTGAAATATTTGCAATCTATTCGCGAACATGTGTTAACTTTTCTGTTGACGAAAAGAAATGAGAAAATCGATGAGATTTATTTGGGTCCCCAGAGAAATTTATTCAAACTTGTTTCGTAGCGTTTAAATATCGATTAATCGTCGATGGATATTAATATTTATCGATCGTTTGATACGAGCATTTCACTGACATCATGTATACAACTGTACCGTTTCCTTTTATATTTGCACGTTTCTCAATAAATAATACACTAGAGGCTTGCAAGTTTTCGCTGGAACAGATATTATTATATTGTTTTACAAGATTCGCTTAATTTACCATGAATTTAAAAGGAAAATTTGATGCCCAAACTAAAGTGCAATTTAAACATGTACATAAAGGAAAAATCATCGCCGGATGAAAACATTTTGCCCATTACATTATCATTACAAGAATCGTACGATTAAAGATGTTTTCTTCTATTTTGCGTCTATTATAATAGGTGTTTAGTCTATTGTACTAATTACAATCAATGTTTTACAATGTCTGATTTGGAGAAACGTAGTCCTCGAATGAATTGGTATTATCCTTGAATACATTGATCTACAAATTCACTTTCTTATTCTAAATTTTGGAAGGACTTGGAACGGTATGCACAATCGGTAATGTATAGCCAGAGCGACACTTTCCATGACGGTACTTTAATTAATTCGGTTTTACAATGATTCATTATTTTACGGAAGTCATTGTAGCTAGTTTCTGCGATACAACGTCGTCGTCGAAACATTCGGTGGCGATAAATGTTTTGCTCGAACGAAGCTCCTGTTCCTCGGAAGCGTAGAATTCCTGCAACAGAAATCCAGAATCAAACGTCAGCTCGTACATTCCAAACGCATCGTTACGGATTGTTTTTAGCCTGTTTATCGAAAGAAACACAAAGCGTACGCTGCATGTACAGTTCGTCACACTGCCGCGGTCGCTTCGGCTCAACAGCGTGTAACAATGGTGTGGCGAACGACAATAATTACGGTGCAGCTCGAGCTCGAGATATACAGACCGCGACAAGTTCTTCGTTAACGCTACGACTGCGACGCGGACAATCTTAAACATTTCGTAAAATTAAAATATTTTCTTTTCTAATCGAATGGAAAATCGAAAACTTTCACAACGTGAATATATCTTTTTCAACATTCTTACGTTCTGCGGATGCTAGTGAAATTAGAAAAACATAATAGACCATTGTAGAAATGAATTTTCAGATATATATATGGGTGATGCGATGACGACGACGGTGTTAATTCCATAAATAGTACAGATCTCGCACCTTGTTCTCGCGGACGTTCACGGTTTCTCGTTGGTCGCGGTGGCGGTGTTCGACTCCTGATCCTCGCCGGTTCCGCCGGCCTCCTCCGGCTGCGGCCTCTCGTTCGCGTGGCACAGTTTCCGGTGTTTGTGGACGAAGTAGTAGCTGGGGAACTTGCACCCGCAGATCTTACAGGGATAGTACTGCACGTTCAGGTCGAGTAGCCTGACCTCCCTGCGGTTCCTCTGCGGCTCGGGCCTTTGGCCGGTGCCGACGCTGGACGACTCGTTCAGCCTGGTCGGCAGCAAGTGCCTCTTGGTGTGCTTCCGGTAACAATATTGGGACTTGAAGGTGTGCCTGCAGTATCCGCAGGTGTAGCTTCCGCCGGCGGCGTTCCCGGCCTCGGTGTCGATCGCAACGGCCATCGGGTCGCAGCCGTTTCCGGCCGGTCCTCCATTCTCATCGTTCTCCCTGCCGGAGGCGTTCTCCGCTTCGAAGCACCTTTGCAGCCTTGCCTGGGAGGCCGGGCTGCTCCCGCAGGAAGCCGACGGCGAGTAGTTCTCGTTGAGAACCCGGTGGAACTTGATCGGGCCGTCGCAGCAGGCCACGTCGTACACCACCGACAGGACACCGCTCGACGACTCGTTCCCGTTCGCGGAACTCGAGCTGCCGCGCTTCTTCTTCGCCGACTTGCCGCTCCGGTCGTTGGTGTCCTCGTTCGTTCTCTCGCGATTGCAAGCCACGACGCCGGCTTCGTCCATCAACGGCGACGGGCTTCGTTTTTTCGCCTGTACGCTCTTCGAGTTCGACGCCTTCTCCTCTTTCGCCTGCCGCTGCTCCGACTCCGACGACGACTTATTGCCCGGGTTCGACGGTATCGAGGACTGCGACTCGGAGGACGGTGCCGGCGATACCGATCGGGCCGGGGACACCGGTCTCGTCGACGTGGAACACGCCAGCGCGCTGAAAGCCGCCACGCTGAACGACCTCGCCATGCTCTCCGGCGATTTCTGCCGGCTCTCTCGACACGGGCCTCGGCTTCTGTCGAACTGGTACGGCGTCGGTTTCGGCGAGGGCACGTCGCTGTTTGCAGAGAAATTTTTAGGGGTTTCGATCTCTCCTCCTCGCCGCGGTCCACCGCGCACTTGGCAATTTTCTGTCGCGGCTCGCTTTTTCGTTCTCCTTGCTCGTCGGCGCTCGACCGATCTTGATCTACGAACTTGCTCGGAGCAGCGACGAAACTGCCAAGTGCACAGCCGACTCGGCGACGAAGATAGCCACGATGGAATCGTGGTCTTTTTCTGTTCTTTTCCGAAGATTCTCGACGAAGGTTATTACGAAGCAAGAAATTTTGATCGGATTGATCGTTGCTCAATTGCACACCGGATGGAACATCGGCACTACACGGAGAACACGTGATCTCTGAAGTATTAGAATATATCGATTGAAAAACTCGCTGTGTTAACTTGCCGCGATTTTACTGCCAACAGTAGCCTCGACACTTACAGAAATGGTACTCTCACCGCCGATTCGATACTAATCATGAATTTATGAGAAAAATCAGTGGACGAAGCAGAGAGAACAGCAAATACATTTAAAGAATTTGAAGATATTGTTGCATCGCTTTCGACCGATTCGAATTAGTAAGAAAAATCGTGATCAACGTAGCTTCTCTGCACCTTGGAAATTAGTGGAGACAATTTTAACCCTTTGCACTCGAGCGGTGACCCCGAGGCACCACTAAAATTGTTATATCGCGTTCCAAGATAATTTTTATATTATCGAAGTTCAGTTGTAAAAGATCGTTAAAAGTTTAACCGTTGCACGAGTCACAAGGCTCAATTTCATGTGCACAAAATGCATTTTGTTCCATAAAATGGAAATAGCGTAAACCGAAAAAATGAATTTAGATTTACGGTCAAAATGGCTTCGAGTACAAAGGGTTAATTTCGTAGAAAAATCCGCGACAGTTCTTTTTCCCCTCGAAGTTTCGGTTTTTAACGCGACGCGATTGCCGCTGAAACAGGTTCAAACCTGTAACGCGCGGTGGTTTCCTGGCCGACGGTGGTCGGGACCACGGAAACGTTCAGCGGGACCGTCGATTGCAAAAGCACCGACGGTTGCAGTCGTGGCAGGTGCGATAATCCGATTGCCGCAGGAGCCGGCGGCGCGGTCGGTGGGTAAAGCGGCGTCGTCGGCCAGCACATGCTCGGCTCGATCATCAGCCGGTTCGGTATCGGTCTGAGGATGCTTCCGGCGCCCGGCGTCGACGTCGACATGGACATGGAGGTCGACGTGAGGGTCGAGGTCGGGGCGACCGGTACCGGGACCGGGACCGGTATCGGTGTCGGCAGAGGCGGCGGGGCCCTGAGCCGCAGCAACGCTGCACGGCACTGCTCGAGGGCACCAGGCATGTGCAACAAATGCGTGGCCAACAGCACGCTGTAAACGTTGTCCAGCGTCACTTCCAGCCGGCCCGTGTACATGTAGTTCAACAGGGGCGCGAACGCTTCTCCGCCTGTAAGTTACCATTCGACGGACTGATTGCTCTCTCGCCCTCTCTCTCTCTCTCTCTCTCTCTCTCTCNGACGAAACTGCCAAGTGCACAGCCGACTCGGCGACGAAGATAGCCACGATGGAATCGTGGTCTTTTTCTGTTCTTTTCCGAAGATTCTCGACGAAGGTTATTACGAAGCAAGAAATTTTGATCGGATTGATCGTTGCTCAATTGCACACCGGATGGAACATCGGCACTACACGGAGAACACGTGATCTCTGAAGTATTAGAATATATCGATTGAAAAACTCGCTGTGTTAACTTGCCGCGATTTTACTGCCAACAGTAGCCTCGACACTTACAGAAATGGTACTCTCACCGCCGATTCGATACTAATCATGAATTTATGAGAAAAATCAGTGGACGAAGCAGAGAGAACAGCAAATACATTTAAAGAATTTGAAGATATTGTTGCATCGCTTTCGACCGATTCGAATTAGTAAGAAAAATCGTGATCAACGTAGCTTCTCTGCACCTTGGAAATTAGTGGAGACAATTTTAACCCTTTGCACTCGAGCGGTGACCCCGAGGCACCACTAAAATTGTTACATCGCGTTCCAAGATAATTTTTATATTATCGAAGTTCAGTTGTAAAAGATCGTTAAAAGTTTAACCGTTGCACGAGTCACAAGGCTCAATTTCATGTGCACAAAATGCATTTTGTTCCATAAAATGGAAATAGCGTAAACCGAAAAAATGAATTTAGATTTACGGTCAAAATGGCTTCGAGTACAAAGGGTTAATTTCGTAGAAAAATCCGCGACAGTTCTTTTTCCCCTCGAAGTTTCGGTTTTTAACGCGACGCGATTGCCGCTGAAACAGGTTCAAACCTGTAACGCGCGGTGGTTTCCTGGCCGACGGTGGTCGGGACCACGGAAACGTTCAGCGGGACCGTCGATTGCAAAAGCACCGACGGTTGCAGTCGTGGCAGGTGCGATAATCCGATTGCCGCAGGAGCCGGCGGCGCGGTCGGTGGGTAAAGCGGCGTCGTCGGCCAGCACATGCTCGGCTCGATCATCAGCCGGTTCGGTATCGGTCTGAGGATGCTTCCGGCGCCCGGCGTCGACGTCGACATGGACATGGAGGTCGACGTGAGGGTCGAGGTCGGGGCGACCGGTACCGGGACCGGGACCGGTATCGGTGTCGGCAGAGGCGGCGGGGCCCTGAGCCGCAGCAACGCTGCACGGCACTGCTCGAGGGCACCAGGCATGTGCAACAAATGCGTGGCCAACAGCACGCTGTAAACGTTGTCCAGCGTCACTTCCAGCCGGCCCGTGTACATGTAGTTCAACAGGGGCGCGAACGCTTCTCCGCCTGTAAGTTACCATTCGACGGACTGATTGCTCTCTCGCCCTCTCTCTCTCTCTCTCTCTCTCTCTCTCATTCTTGCTCTCTCCCGCGGCTCTCTTGCGGCACGTTACCACCGCGACAATCTGCCTGGGTCCGCAAAGTGATCCCTGATGTTCCATCTCGCAAAATCACTGCGGCGTATTCCAGGTAAAAGTGTCTCGCAGACTCGTAGAAACAAGAGCACACGTTTTCCGATGAACTGGCGACGATTGTTCCTTCACACATTCACGACCACTGGCGCACATGTGCGACGTAGTTCACGTGAAAATAGATACACGAATTTGATTCGGCGTTGGTTTTTAATTTCGTAATATCCAGGAATTTTAGGACTTGGTTTTGCTGTTTTGATGTTTCGTAATGCATTTAAGCGAGGAAGGCGAATACCGAAAGAAACGATGCACGCGAACGTGTTACAATCGGTGGACAAAATTGATGGAACACGTGGCGCGGAACAGCAAAGTAATTTGCTGCTGTTTCGTACGTTTTGCTCAACTGTTTCTTACGGAGACACCTGTTTGTAGAATATGCTCGCATTGCTTTGCGGATAAAACACCTGTTCGGACACTCTTCTTGTTCTAGAAGTGATCGTTCATTTTACGAGAGGCTAATTCGACGATTGTTTTCGTCTAGAGCACTCTTGTTGTTCAGATGAATTTTCCTTCGATTCTCGTCTTTCGAAGACAGCCAATGAGAATGGAGATTTTTGGAAAAACTTCTGCCAGAAGTTATATTTCTTAACGGTTTCGTATATTCATGAATGCAGTTTTACTTTAACAATAGAATATCTGGGGTGTGGTACGAAAGCCGAGATGTAGAAACAAGAGGGGATCAGAATAGACCCAGGCATAGTTTGATCGGTCGTCGTAGCAAAGTTGCCGCAAAACGTCCGCTCGCCGAGGGTTAAACGGCGCCGTTTACACTCTCCGAAACGAACGATTAGACAACAAGGGAAATTTCGAACCAACACTCTCGCTACCAACAGCAATTGAGTACACAAATTTTCGGGCGTTAATTAACTTACACAGTTGTCCAATTCATTTGAAGTAAGAGTCTTGCAGAATAATTTTGATCAAGGTGCCGTTTTCGGAGTTTTGGGGTGAAATTGGTAGTAGGCTGTACAATTAGAAAATTCCAAATTGGCTTGAAACTCATCCACGAAATTGCAAACAGGATAAAAACGAAATTGGATGATAGCTGACAAAAAACGGATCAAATTTCTAAATTCATTTCTCTTAACACTTTGCTTACTCAATCGCCGAGCTGTGTGTAAAAGAAGCTCGATAATTTTCTTTTAGATAACAATTTCAAAACAAGTTATATTACACGAATCCAAATAACTTATTGAATTGTGAACGCAGTCGAGATTAATCGTATCAAATTGTCATATCAAACTATTACTATAGTATACAGAATGGTCCACTAAGATCTGCCACTTAAATTACAAGAAAACCATTTCTTCTGCAAAAAAAAAGGTTTAAAACGAACGTTGTGGAGTATGAAATGAGGTATACGCTGATATAATCATTTATCAAGATTTGAAGTTCAGTTCGCGAATTTTTGTAATCATAACATATAAAATTTGACTCCGCTACTGAAAGAAGAATGTAAAACCAAATGAAAAGCTATAAAAAGACAATATAGATCCAAAATCCGATACTTACCGAGATATTGATTAACTTATGTATAATACAATGTTGACGACGTTCAAATAGTTGGCCCATTCTGATCAACAAACGTTTTCAAAGTGACCATTAAATCTCGATAAAAAAAGCAATATAGACGAAAATTAATTACATCAGCGTAATAGTTGTTTTCATGTCTTACAGCTATTATTTGAAACATTTTGCTATAGAAGAAACGGTTTTCGAGTGATTTAGGTGGCAGATCTTGATGTACCACTCTGTATTCAAAGAACTCTTCACTGTTGACTTTCGATTTCGATAAAAGGACGTAAAGCTTTGAACAGCTGTCTACGTTTGCCTCGATTTCGGAAGAATTATTTTTGTAAAACTACCATCGCTGAGTGAAATCGTTTATCAAAACGAAATCCGATCGTTCTATCAGGATCGGAATCGTCGCAGCATGACACGTGCCGGTAGCGAGAGGGTTGAGCTCGAGTGCCCGACGATTTACCGATAGAGGAAACCGAGACCGAGGTAACCGGTCTCGGCGATTGTCCCGAAAGGTTGGTCGTGGTGACCGCGATAGCCGTTGCTGGCATGTTGCTGCAAGAGGCAACGCTCGCGTTCGCACTAACATTCGGGGACGCGGCAGCGCTGCTCAGCAGAGCCTTCAGATAGCCGCTGTGAGCAGCCAGGACTCCCTTGTGAGCGACAAACTGGTGTTCCCCCTCGTTCCCCACTCGAACCACGGTGTCGGGAGGCGACAGAGTCTCTTGAAGCCTGGAGTAACTGTCCCCGGCAACACTGTCGCCGAACCAGGCTCTGTACAGGCTGTACATTCTCGAGAACCCGATCCAACGACTCGATTAACTTGAGTACCGCTCCGGAGACTCGGCTGTTCGACCGGTCGGGTATGATCGAGGCATAGCAGCACAGAAAGATCACGAGAAAAACATGCGGAGGTGTTCGGTCTCCTTTGCTGGGACCGCGATTAATCCAGAGAGCTGGACGCGTTGTACGGCGCGGCTCGTCGACAAGTTTACGGCGCGGTTCGTGGACGCGGCCCGGAAGTGTGCTCGCGATTGCCACTCGTCGAGGAGCGACTTGGCCGCGGATGAGAGAGAGTTGCAGCAACGGGTGCCGCCGCGATCGAGCGTGATTTGAACGCCCGGAGTCGGCCGCGGGTTTCATCCGCAGCCACCGCCGCCACCACCGCGATGTCGCGGCCGAGCTTGTAGATTCGCTTGCTTTTTCAAGTGGTTCGGTTCTACCACCCTTCGCCTCTTCCTCCTCCAGACGGCCCGTATCAACCAGTCCCTGTGCAGACCGCCCCAACCCCCGAACGCCAGAGATCCGCCCCCGACGAATACAGATTGGTTGTACCAGCTCAATTACGGCAGGGCCGCACGTGCGCCTGCTGCTCATGTGTGCGGCAATCCGTGTGCGGGATTCTCGATGCCCTCTGTCTTCGCCCTCTCTCTCTCTCTCTCTCTCTCTCGCGCTCTCTCTCTCCCTCTCTCTCTCTCTCTCTCTCGCGCTCTCTCTCTCCCTCTCTCTCTCTCTCTCTCTCGCGCTCTCTCTCTCCCTCTCTCTCTCTCTCTCTCTCGCGCTCTCTCTCTCCCTCTCTCTCTCTCTCTCTCTCGCGCTCTCTCTCTCCCTCTCTCTCTCTCTCTCTCTCGCGCTCTCTCTCTCCCTCTCTCTCTCTCTCTCTCTCGCGCTCTCTCTCTCCCTCTCTCTCTCTCTCTCTCTCGCGCTCTCTCTCTCCCTCTCTCTCTCTCTCTCTCTCGCGCTCTCTCTCTCCCTCTCTCTCTCTCTCTCTCTCGCGCTCTCTCTCTCCCTCTCTCTCTCTCTCTCTCTCGCGCTCTCTCTCTCCCTCTCTCTCTCTCTCTCTCTCGCGCTCTCTCTCTCCCTCTCTCTCTCTCTCTCTCTCGCGCTCTCTCTCTCCCTCTCTCTCTCTCTCTCTCTCGCGCTCTCTCTCTCCCTCTCTCTCTCTCTCTCTCTCGCGCTCTCTCTCTCCCTCTCTCTCTCTCTCTCTCTCGCGCTCTCTCTCTCCCTCTCTCTCTCTCTCTCTCTCGCGCTCTCTCTCTCCCTCTCTCTCTCTCTCTCTCTCGCGCTCTCTCTCTCCCTCTCTCTCTCTCTCTCTCTCGCGCTCTCTCTCTCCCTCTCTCTCTCTCTCTCTCTCGCGCTCTCTCTCTCCCTCTCTCTCTCTCTCTCTCTCGCGCTCTCTCTCTCCCTCTCTCTCTCTCTCTCTCTCGCGCTCTCTCTCTCCCTCTCTCTCTCTCTCTCTCTCGCGCTCTCTCTCTCCCTCTCTCTCTCTCTCTCTCTCGCGCTCTCTCTCTCCCTCTCTCTCTCTCTCTCTCTCGCGCTCTCTCTCTCCCTCTCTCTCTCTCTCTCTCTCGCGCTCTCTCTCTCCCTCTCTCTCTCTCTCTCTCTCGCGCTCTCTCTCTCCCTCTCTCTCTCTCTCTCTCTCGCGCTCTCTCTCTCCCTCTCTCTCTCTCTCTCTCTCGCGCTCTCTCTCTCCCTCTCTCTCTCTCTCTCTCTCGCGCTCTCTCTCTCCCTCTCTCTCTCTCTCTCTCTCGCGCTCTCTCTCTCCCTCTCTCTCTCTCTCTCTCTCGCTCTCTCTCTCTCTCTCTCTCTTTCTCGCTTTCTCTCTCTCTCTCTCTCTCTCTCTCTCTAGTCTCCATCTTTCTCTATCTACCTCCATCTTTGTCTTTCCCTCTACCCCGTCTCTCTCTTTTTCTCCCCCACCGTCGCCCATCCGCGTCTCTCCATCTTTGTCCTCCCTTCGGAAACTCTTCTCTTTTTCGGTCCATCGATGGGACGAATCAGTCGCGATTTTCTTTCGACGACGCGGTCCTTCTTCGAACGAAATTGTCGAGAGAAATGTAAATGGGGACGATAGGTTCGATAAGGGCGCGAGGTCGCCGCAAAGGAGTACATACCGTTCCGGAGTTTCATTTTAATAACTGTGAACTTCGAGGCGAACACCGTAGTCCGACATTCGTTTGTCAACTGTTTCATTCGGATTTTCGCGATTGCGAACACATTGTTTTGAGCCTTTTAGGGGGGTTTCTTTTCAATTGTTCGCAGTCGGGCGATAAAAAAGATATTACGCCAAATTGGCTTTTGAACTGTTCTTCTACAGTTTCTAGCATTATGAAGATATTTCTATGGATTAGAGAATGCATAGATATTTATTTCTTCTTCTGTTAACTTGAACAAGTTGCGGAAAATATAATAATATCTTGAAATTCTTTTAACGTTTTGATTATTTTGTATGTGTCGGTATTCATTTCTACCACGGTTGCTTAAAGATTTGCAGTTGACTTATCAATGTCCATCTCAGTGGATTACGTAACGGTAGAAACAATGAAAGAATTTACAAACACTGTAACAGCATTTTCAGTTCACAAAAGCGATTAATTTTATTTTGCATGCAAGTCGCGATCTAGTCGTGATCAGTATGATCACACCTAACTAGTCTATGTTTGCTAATCCTCGGAAATACGAGGATTATGTTGCATACAGTTGAATACCAAGCACAGGTATCATCAACCTAGAAATCTGTCAATGCTCATCAACTCCGTCAAGATCTTTTCTTTTCTCGCATAAGACACCTATTGTTCGTGCTGTTTTACGCATCCAATGGCATACCCCACTTTATAAATTAATTGTACTCATTTTCTAATGATAACAATGTTCTTACAACGCTGTATATAATTAATCTTCTTGCGAGTGTATACGATTACCAAATGAACAATTCTTGACATTTTAATTATAAATACGTATTTTTTAACTGTTGTTGTTTAATCTGCAACAATCTTCTTGATTCCTCAATACTATACGCAGCTGTGAAGAGCAATAGTTTTTATTGATTTATATGGGAAAAGAGCCGTACTGTTTTACGTCTGTTATTATGTGGAATGTATCAAATCACTTTGTTGTAACTGTCTCCATCAGTATTATATGTTAGTAATTGGACGCTTTACCGTTTGTGATCTATTATGCTGTGTTATTGGATTAATCCGTTCTCTAGGGTACTTGAAAAGCATTAGTTCATGGTTAGTGGAGATTGGGGTGGGTTACGGCCACCTTTCTCTAGTGTTGAATCTACATATATGACTCAATGCACACTAATGAAATGAGCCCTGTATATTAAAATTGTTTCGTAGTTTTTTAACGCGCATTTAAGATCAATTTTACACCGAATAACAAATATCACTCTAAGCTAGAATGCTACTCGAACTACAAGTTTGTCCCCTAGAATCTTATATACAATCCACACGTTTGTCACTCGCAGCGGATGCTTATTACTCATTTAGAATCTAAAATTTAAATTCGTTTAATTTCTAGCTTTTCTCGAAACAACTTTCTGCAACATTTTTATATTTTCCTGTGAGAATCAACGTGCAACAAAACAATTCATTTTTTGTGGTCCATCAATTTTATAAATCTTGTTTTCTCTCATTAGGATTTTAGAGCGTGCCACTTTTCATTCTTTGTTGATAAAGCTCATTGATTACAGTTTAATATCTGTGGGGGTATGTTTTCGTGGTAGAAGTTTTCCGAATGAATTTGAAAGTCTTTCTATTTACACCGCACTTTTATTCTTTAGCGATCTTCACTCAACCAGGTCGACAACAAGAGTGTACTTACATTTTTGTACCCCTGCTCGCTGGTAAGCCAGGAGTACGCTCACGTCACGATTTTCTCTAATTGGTCAGCACTAAGTAGCGTGCTGGCCAATCAGGTCGTAGGTAAGGGCCCGTTGTCTTCCTTTCCCACGCATTCGTGTCGCGTTCTTCTCTACAGCTTTTTGGCTGCAACTATAAATTTATTACCGCGGTAACGGAATTTCTTCCAGGCCTGTGAGCCAGCTGTTGGTCCTCTATCCGCGGACCCTCTGGAAATCCCGAAATTATGACAACATCATTTGTTATTGAGACCGAAAGCGAAAGATTCTACAGAACGGAAAACATGCTTTCTCTACAGGGTGTACCAAAATTATTGTACAAGCTGGAATTGAGGGGTTCCTGAGGTCATTTGAAGTAACTTTTTCCTTAGCGAAAATGCAATCTGCGGCTTAGTTTACGAATTATTAACGAAAAAGACGGACCAATCGGAAAGCGAGTGCGGCTGGCGCTCCGCCCTTACGACCAATGCCGTGTCGCGCTGGCCGTCTGACGCAGCGACAGTGGTCGCGAGGGAGGGGCGTCAGCTGTACGCGATCTCTGATTGGTCACTGTTTTTCGTTAATAACTCGTAAACGAAGTCGCGAATTGAATTCTCGCTAAGGAAAAAGTTACTTCAAGTGACCTCAGGAACCACTCATTTTCCGCTTGTACAATAATTTTGGGACACCATGTATAATACTGCTAGTACGTGATGGAACGGTTTCCTCAAAAATAGCTTTACTAGTGCTTGTGCCACGGTGCTATGAACCGATGGCCGCTACAAATCGATTTATTCTTATCTTTATAGATGTAGTTCGATATTTAAACTATCCTATCAAATTATTCATAGATTATTCGATCTCCATAATGAATAACAATCTGTGATCGACATGGTACTGGATATAAATCATTGTTGCAAACGGTGTATCCAATCAAGTATGTGTCTTAAAGCAGATTGTTTCTTAATTTAACTAGTGTGCATAGAACAATGGAGAGAAATCACGATCGACGTTGTTCGATTCGGATAGAACAGCTCCTCGCTTCGAATTGATGTGAATGGCATCGACGTGTTCCAATGAGAATTGCTCGACGAGAAAAAGCACGAAAGGAAAGCCTCGACTATTATTGATTCAATTACTCCTGCGGACATTCGCGATACACCATACCTTTTTTTTTTTCGTTCAAATCTCGTATCGCCACGTTCGTTCGATTCGTCATCACGGTACGGTTGTTCCGGTCGTGTTTCCGACTTGCGCAAGTTAGACCTCCCCCTCTTGTAAATTGTCAGACAAGTTCAATTTGCACGGCAGTCGTTGCGCCGACGATTTTAATCGCGGATCACGAGCCGGCAAGAACAAACAATGAAACCGCGGGACCATGGCGAATTATTTATGAGGCGGGATGTAAGAAGCCGTAACAATGAAATCAGGATTTGCTTAGCGTGCCGACCTCGAACCGCGTGTTGTTGCATCGGTCGTTCGCGAGCAAGCAAATACTTTTTGTTCGGTTTTCGTGTGAATTTTATCGATTCATAACGCCGTTTTG